TCTAAATATTTATAATTAATTATAACTAGTTATGATTAATTATTCATATTTCCCTTATGAGCTGATTCGCTACAGAATTCTGATGCTTTACCAGGCCTTTACTGCAGCTGACTTCAGTTGTTGTTTGTTTGTGGGTCTTTCTGCCTTTAGTTTTGCCTTCAGCGAGTGAAATGCTGCTCAATCGGATTGAAATCAGGAGATTGACTTTGCAGAATATTCCACATGCATGCTCATGCCATCACACTGCTCCACCATGTTTCACAGATTTGAGTATGAGCTGTTCCAAGCCTTCTCCATACTTTTTTCTTCCCGTCATTCTGGTACAGGTTGATCTTAATTTTCAGCCGTCCAAAGTCTAATCAGGCTAGGGCTGCACAATTAATCAAATTTCTAATCGCAATTATGGATGCCACAGTTACGTACTCGTTCAAAGCAGCAATTAATCGTTCAAAGTCAACTTATGAACTGTTATTCTAAGGGTTTTTCCATTGTTTTAATTTTAGTTTTAGTATAACACTATAATACCATTTATATTTTTACTTTTTTTATAATTTAAAGAAGAAACCAATCCAATGTATAGTTGACATTTGATGCTTAATACTATAGAAAAGCACTAAAAGTTTTTCAGTTAGAGTGTTTTCAGCTTGTTTATTTTCATATAAAAATACGGCATGCAGTTGCATCAAACAATGGTATAAACATCATTCAATGTAAATTGTGATAATCGTAATTAATAATCGCAATTACAATTTCAACGCAATAATCGACAATTATGAAGCCTCTGTATTTGCTCTCGTGAAGTGTTCTCTGGATTGTAGACTTTAACAGTGACACACCTACCTGCTGGAGGGTGTTCTTCTCTTGCCTGGATGTTGTGAAAGGGTTTTTCTTTACCAAGGAGAGGATCCTCCGATCATCCACCACTGTTGTCCTCCGTGGACGTCCAGGCCTTTTTATGTTGCTGAGCTCACCAGTGCAGTCTTTTTTTCTCAGAATGTACCAAACTGTTTATTTGACCACTCCTAATGCTGGAAAGACTAAAATCTCTAAAACCTTACATTGGAAGCTCTCATTTACATTATAATAATCAATGTCAAATCTGTATGTTCTCCTATTTGTGTTTCAGCAAGTTCCCTCATTCTCTCTCTGTTTCTGTCTGTCTGTCTGCAGAAGTGTTATTTTAGTAACACTGAAATACTATAATAGTTTTTTTTATATTTGAATTCATTTTTATATTTTCTGATTTCAACTTAATTTCTATTAAAGTTTTAGTAATTTTGTTGTTGTTTTTTGTCATTTTTATTAGTTATTGTAATTTATACATTTTTATTTAAGTTTTAATTTTAGTTATTTTACTATCAAGAAACTGAGAATGACAGAAAAGCTAATATTTATTTTATTTCAGGTAATTATGTTTTTTATGGTTTTAGCTTTAGTTAACTCTAATAACCCCGGTCTGCAGTAAAAGCCATTGCTCTGTTGATGCAGACGGTGGGTGAGGAGGTGAGAGGCGTGTCAAGAGGTCAGAGGAAGAGGGCTAATTAAACGGACACAACTCATTACAGATAATGACAAAACAACGCATGTAGGGTGTGACACTGGCTTGCTGACCATACCTATGAGTGATTACGGCCACAGGTTCCAGAAAATTCCATGCAAAAATAGCTTGGGGGGCCGGCGTGGGCGTAGCGCTTTATTTTGGGATTTCTGTATGTGGAAAATTCACTCCCAGAGAGAATGCTTATCAATTATTAAAACACAGGGAGGAGAGCCATTTCATCCCTCACTCACTACTTCTTTGCCTTCTCATCATGCTGCTCAGTACTTATTATGGAAACAATACACTTAAGTGTGCACTGGATGTAATGTTTTCAGACATTTAACTGCATGCTAATTGCAATTAACTGAAAATGTATTACAGTTTACATTTATACTAAATGGAATAAGCTGAACTTAATTGTTTTTGACCCACTTAAGTAGGACTAAAGTACATCTTTATATGCAATTTCATAATTACTCCTATTGAAATATGGTTAAAGTGAATGCACTGACAAGCATTTATAGTCAACTAAAATATACTTAAATGTCATTTCTATTGAAATGTGAATCAATACCGTGACAATTTCTGAACAAGATAGAGCGAGGTTTGTGTTGTGAACATTAGAGCATGTCTGCACACCTGCACCACTCCCATACAGGAGTCCAGGAAGATGGTTCCTTTGGGCTCTTTGTTGATCTTCTCATCCTTGTAGAAGTTGAGATTATACGACCCATCGCCCAGCTGTGTCAGGTGGAAATACCTTCTTTTGAATGACTGCGTGGAAAAAAAAGAAGAGTGTAAATGAGACATGAAAAACAAACACGTGCATAGACATAACATCTCCTCAGGAATGAAGACTCTCACCCTCATGGTGACGCTGATGGCGCTGTTCATGTTGCCCTTATGTAGCCAGCCCTGTTTAATGAGACCACCCTTCTGGGAGCCCAGAGAGGCCGTGTCCTTTACACACACACAAAAACAAGAAACAGTTTTGTGATGACAGTCCAAGGTTTGTCTGTTTGATCCTGCAGTTGAACAAAGTAGGAGTCAAGTAAGGGAGAAAGAACAGAATCCAGACTCCACGACTGAACAGAACCTCAGATAAACCTGATTCAAAGTACACTACAGAACCTCTGATAACACCATTCCTGTCTCTGGACACTTACATGAACATCAGTACTGTAACCGAACACCTGCAAAGTACACAATGCTCATCAGTATGAATCAGCACAGCTCTCCCCTAAAGTGTGTAACAGAAGAAACATGTAGCCGAGGTCTTCATGACTCCGTTTACTCCACCTAGTCCCTCTACGGTTGTGGGATCACAATATTTAACTATTTTATTTCCATAACTTGATGAAAAAACAAAGCAATATCATCTGTGATATCCCAGGCCAATCAAACCCTGTTGTATGAACGTCACTGACCATCCTGTTCCCATCTGTAATATTATCTGACAGATAATCAGTCTTTTCTAGGAAAAATCATCCCAGGATGCACCTCATGACCTTGGTTGTGTAAATGTTCAGAGTGAGCAGACAAAGAAGCTCAAATATAAGAGAATCTGGTTGTGTTTAACATTTTTGGTTTTGTTTAACTTCATTTTCATTCTTCCTTTTATTGTCTCCCTTTACCATTATTCTTAAATGTGAAAAAGTCATTATAAAGAATACAAATCTAAAAAATGTTGGATCACCTGTAATAGTGACACAAGGTTCCCGGAGAGAACAGACATGATATTTGTTTCTTTTCCAGATCTGGAGAAGTGCCTGCTATATAGGGATGCAACAATTATAGATTTTGTTGGTACGATTATTGTCTGAGGAATAATCACGGTTTTACGATTATGACGATTATTATGCATTTATTAATTTCCCAACGTTACTAATGTATAAAATCACATGAACACTCTTTAGATATTAAAGTGTTATTTATTGCTGGCTTTTGAAACAGAAATAACACTGTAACCAACAATACAGCACAAACTAATAATAAACAAAAGACAAACAAAAGTCCATCTCTCCCATTGGAATTAAAAAAAGGTGACCTCTGCTCTGTAAACATTCATGACAGTATTTCTCTTTTGAAAATAACAAATAGATCACAAAAGTATTTAATGTTTTCAGTTTGTACATTCTTTACATTTCATTTGGACCTGGGGTAGAGAATTTGGAAACATGGTGAAAAAAAATATTGTTGGTTTTTACTTATGAATAATACTACAACAGGGATAGTAAACAAAGTTAATGAAGTAGCCTATTATTAATATACGACTAATATTAACTTTATTTGTCCCACAGGGGAAACTGTTACTAATGATGGAAATAAACTGAAATATTGTAATCAACTGTCATCCATACGTATTCATTTTAATAATCTTTATAATAATTCATATGATTTTACATGTGGCCTGAGAAAATCATGTCTATTATTTTGGTTTGTGAGATCGGAGATCGCGCTGCACACGTGTACAAACATTCAGGAGGACGCAGACTTCTTGAGAATGCTGCCCTGTGACTTTTATTAATAAAATAGATTAAATAGCCTACTGGAGAGACGCAGGTAGGCTAATTCACACAGGCAACTGTCACCCCTCTCTCTCTCTCTCTCTCTCGAAAAATTAATTAAAGTAGCTAAATGTTATAATTAATTCAAATAAATGTGATCTTACCGCACTATTTCATCTCTTTCTGATCTGAAGCGGGCAGAATGCGGAGCTAACGAGCTGTAGCTTCGCGTCAGGTGGTTCTTGCCTTCACGTCGTGCATTAAAATCGTTCAGTGTACAGCTAGCCGTGCATGATCCCTTATGTATTCGCTCTTTAGCAGCAGTTTTTACAGCAATATTTAAATGACACCCTGGTCATTCTTGGTGTACCCAAAATGGTCCCACACTATCGACAAGCATTTCTCTGGTGGAAATAAAGCTTCGCTGTTTGGTCCCTCTGTCAGTTAATCTAATGCATGTAGTAGCCTCGTGCCTCTGATAGCAAGCTGCAACAGTTCCGTTCCATGTAACGGAAACACTCGGTTTAGCGGAACCTATACTATTAATTAACCGTGGCGTTTTAAAGCGCGGTTAATCGCGAAACCGGTTAATCGCTGCATCCCTACTGCTATACAAGTTATATTTCACTAGTTGGCAATTTTGCATAAGTCGTACTATTTATTTTGTTTAAAAACATGTGGAAAACAGAATTAAGTATGATGGTCCACTCCTATACCATACCCTCACTAGGGCGTAAGCAGATTATGCGAAAATTTACAAATGAGATTGTACAAATTTATAAGAATTTGCCAAATTATTTATTTGACATGCTGGCATTTACAATTTGACATGTTGGTATTTCTTTCTAAGAAACAAATTTCACAATTTTTGAGAAAAGATGCATTAAAATACTTTTCCAAAATAATAATATTTCTGTTGTGTTTTACCTCAATGTACTTTTTTATGTCTTTCAGGCGTGAAATGGTCCACACTATTGACCTCATGCTGGCAAGAACAGTAAAGCATATGTTGTGCTTTGTCTGTTGGTCATTTCACCAGGATTTTTAGCAAGCTTAACCAGCGAAACTTTATTATAAAAACTAACAGTTTTGCTGGTGCCAATATTGCTATACTGGTCCACCAGCTAGACCAGCACCAACCAGCCTGGACAAGCATGCTGGTGTAAACTGGTCTTTTGTGAGAGGCATCAGACCTCACACTCCAAGGTGTAGATGAGGAGAGTATTGGCCTGAAAGACACTTTAAGAACAATAGAAGGTTAAACTTTAGTACAATGGGTCGGTTTGTCTCTGAATCACCAGTTAAACGCTTCTTAACGCTTTAATCTTGACACTCTGCAGATATAAACAAACCACACACACAACAGAGGGAGTCTGGATGCTTCATAGACCTCAGAGCTGCGTTCTCTCAACAAACACACACTATCTGAGCTTTCCAGTCAGCAGATATCAAAACCCAGTCAGAGTGACTGCAGTCTTGGACAGTCCAGCCTCTTGTGAATTCTCAGAAGGCTGTTTTAGCAAAGAGACTTCAGTCAAGAAATCTACAGTTTTATGCTTTCTGAGGAAAATGTGAGCCGAGTTTGCTTGTGCAAAACTAAACTGATGTTGACCTTTAATGATCCAACAGAAGCCTTCAAATACATGATTAGAAGTTGTGCTGAAATGCCATGAAGAACTGCTTTTTTTTACCATGATTTTTATCATCCATGCAAACTTTTAAATCATTTAATACTTAAGGTTTTGTTTAAATATGAGCACCAGTAGCATCAGCAAGCATCACTAATAATTGTTAACATTCATGAAAACAGCCTGAATGATGTAAAATCTCAATGTGGCGAGCTGTTATGATTGGCTGTGCCATTGGACGGCCATCAGCAATTGGCTGTGTTTACTGCGATGTCAAAACACACTCATTACCACACTAACTTTCTAAAAATACAAGAAATCAATCAGCGACCAAATTAGACAAATGAGTCTAACTGGAACTCAAGAGTTATTCATAGTCCACAGTACAGGCCAAAACTTAGCATAATAATTATACTGCATTCCTCAAACCTACGACCTGAGTTACATATCAGTCTGTCGTACTGCACAAATTTGGGCTAAAATAAGAAACGTGACTCAATCTCGAGTGGGAAGCTGATTGGTAGAATTAAATATGTGGACAGCCTTCATGGAAAAAAGAATTCTGGGAAGGGTAAGGCAGAAGGTCTAATGTCAGGTCACTGGATTTGACTATGTCCATTCTGGGAAAACCTAGAAGTCTGATCCACACATAGAGCCTGGCTGTAGCCCAGTTTACATATTCTCCTAAATAGTATGTGACATTAGCAATAGTGCATCTTGTATCATAGCATGTTGAAAATATTAAAAGAAAAGGCCCAAATGACTTACTCTGTGCATCTGTGAATGTGTTTCGAAGTAATGCCGCCTACTATTCCTTGCGCAATAAAAAGGAGTTCTGGATAAATTGAGTTGTACAAAAATGGAAAGTATTTGATTACGAGACTAAGGGATGGAGTTTTATGAAGTGTTAGTACAGTATGTCCTAATACTAGTGTACTGACTTACTTCATACTCAAAACTATGAACCTACTATTATAGCACATTATTATATGCATTATTACATTATTATATTATATATTATAGCACAACCAACCCTAACCCTAATCCTAATCTTAACCAATGAAATTGGCTGCAGGGCGGGATTTGTGTTAAAGTGGTTTGGGAAAAAAATATTCAGCATCTGGCACAATCCTGTAGGATTATTAGAGAGGGAAAATATCACTTAAGATTGACTACAGTTTCAGAGTTTAATAAGAGGGTCGCAATTCTGGAAGGTGTGTTTGTGTGTGAATTTGATTTACCTCATCTTTATCCACATCTTCATCCACCTCAAAAACATGCTGGGCTAAATTATCAGGTCTGGACACTTTGCTGTGTACAAAAAAACACAAATTAACACCCAGATTCATGGGAAAAACAGCACTTACACTGCAGCTCAAAAATTTAGGGAAGTACTTCTTAAAGAAATCAATACTTTAATTCAGCACAGATTCATTAAACTGATCAAAGCTAACAATAAAGACATTTAAAATGTTAAAAAAATGTTTTTATTTCAAATAAATGCTGTTCTTTCGACCTTTCTATTTATCAAAGAATCCCGAAAAAAGTATCATGTTTTCCACAAAAATATTAAGCAGCACAACTGTTTTCAACACTGATAATAATAATGTTTCTTGAGCCACTAATCAGCATATTAGAATGATTTCTGAAGGATCATGTGACACTGAAGAATGGAGTAATGATGCTGAAAATACAGCTGTGATCACAGCAATACATTTATATTTTAAAATAAATAAAAATAGAAAACAGTTACTTTAAATAACAAGAATACTTCACAATATTACTGTTTTTACTGTATTTTTTATCAATTAATTGAACAGTAGAGTCCATAGAAATATTACAGACAAAATTAAAAGGGCCTACAAGAAAAAAAGGATTTTAATCTATATCTGTGATATATTTTGCATCTTAATTTGTTTGTTTGGAACATATTTCATTTATGTTCGTTTCTACATAAACTATCTGTTTAGCTTTATATAATGATTGGTAATGACTTTTTAATGAAAGTTTTTATGATTCTTTCTCCAGATAATCAGATCTTGGCTGCACTCTCATCCTGCTCAACTTTGTCTCATTAAAAGATGAAAAAACAGATGGCCATTTAAACAGTTAAAGGCTCTGTAAGTGTATATGTGGCAATGTGGAGATGATGACCTCACTCACTGTTCCTCTGCTCTATTGTTATCCAGCAAAACACATTTCCTGCTCTCGCCAACACAAACATCTTTCCAAGAGCTGACAAACACACACACACACACACACACACACACACACAGAGAGAGAGAGAGAGCAGCCTAGGAGGACACTGTAACAATGATACCTTGCAGTCCTCTGTCCCTATAGCTATAATCAGTCACACAGGCTGTAACATGTCTCGGTCTAACTGAGGTTCTTACTTGTGAAGCTGACGGAAGTCACCGGAATAATCCTCATATTTGTAGTTGACCACATGCCAATCAGAGATGTAAGACTTGATGCACTGTAAGAACAAACACAATAGCATTAACATCATTAGCATTACCTTTGGCATATACAACTCCAATTATTCACACAAACTCTCTTCATTAAAAGGACGAATTTGAAAGCTAAAGTGAATTAGATTTGAGATCTAGCAGCTAGTACTCCTGGTGCTCAAGCGGCAGACATGGGTTAATTTCTGAATCGCAACATGTCATGATGCCCTGTCCCTTCTCTCTACTGTCCTTACATTAAAAAAAACAACAACTAGGAGTCAATGCATGTCTAAACACTGACTCACTCTCTCTCTCTCAATCGATTTATTCAAATAAATGTGATCTTACAGCACTATTTAATCTCTGTGTCTGATTTGAAGCGGGCAGAATGCTAGCACTAGCGAGCTGTAACTGATGAAAAGAGTTACGGCCATTTTTACTCTTCTGGTCATTGCGCTGGAAACCTCATTAACCAAATGACCATGGTATAAGCGTGATAATGCATGGCTAGCTGTGCATTAAACGATTTTAATGCACGATGTGGAGGCCAAGAACCACCCGACCCATGCATTATCCCTTACTAATACAATATCAATAATAATGACTTTAATTTGTGCACTTATAATGTATTACTATGTATGTTAGCAATGTACGTTTTGAATCTTAATTGAAATAATGAAGAGTGGAAACTATTTAAGGAGGGTGAAATAGGATCAGAACGAATCGCAAACTGGATTCAAACCTGCATCATTTGCCTGAGCACCACAGCTTAAATGATCTGGAGTGTTAACTGCAACCACATCCTTGACTGCTTTTCTCCTTTCTGACAGGAAAGGAAATGCAACAGCATTACTATGTTTGAGTCACTGTGCCTTATGTAGTTAATCTGTTAAAAGGTGTCAGGGGAAATGTCAATTATATATGTATTTTATAAGGTGTCCCTTTTGAAGGCAGCTTCTCATGCAGACAGAGATGAAGCTCACTAGGTTTTAAAAACTCACGTTAAAACCATCTGTTCGATATATTCAACTGGAGAGCAGCCATGTGTCTGCCAGTAACATCAGTGTGTGTGTGTCTGTACTGGAATAGTCCGGGAGTATCCCATGAGTTTGTACCTATCTGGCAGTGAGTCTTATAAAGAATTGGGAATATCTGCAGAACAATGGAGCACTATTCTCCTCTGAGCTAGGAGTGAGTGTGTAACGTGAAATGAAGGTCAATCTTGGACAAAGTCCTCTATAAACAACAGAGGAAATCCTCCGAGTGCAGAAAGTATGTGTGAGGATGTCAAATGCTCAAATACTGTTAAAGAACAATAGGTGCTGTGCTTTTCTGTCTTACACGCACAGTGTATGACTGTAAATGTGAGACAGTGAAGTTATGAATTCAAAGAAAGTGTGTGTGTCTTTTACCTCTTGCACAAACAGATTCTGTGCCTCTCTCAGTGCGTGTGGAGGTATGGAGGGGTAGAACGTCCGAATCTGTCGTGGCAGTGTACACACCTGCAGAAGAAAAACACTGTTATAATCAAATCTATACTATCTATAACCACATCTATACAAAACCTGACATCTGATCCAACAAATTAGGGATGGCCACGAGTACTCGAGTACTCAGAAGCGACAACAATAATCAATCAGGAAAATGATCACATGATTTTTAAAAACACGTATTTTCTCTTTTTTTCTGATTGGTTATGGCAGCACCCTGGGTGATTCCTTGAGGTCTGATTGGTTAGTGTTAGGGCAGCATGTCGTCCAGACTGCGTTTTGGCATGTTGTTATGTGAAAAGCACATCCACAAGAGTGTTACACATTCTGACTAGCACGGCCTAGATCACATGTGCATTTCCATCCGTTTTGTGCAGATGCAAGTCGTAAGATTACATTTATGTTGCATATATAATGCATTTAGTTAATTAACTTGCTAGCAAAGTGCTTCAGTGCAAACAAATACACAAATAGTTTCAGTATGACTTTGAAAAGAATGACTTTTGTTCAGTATAACTCCCCCTGATGATAGTTTTCCCATGAGAGAAACAGGACAAACGAAGCGGCAGGATGAGCTCGACCACAGTTTCACAGCAAAACTCCCCAGCCTGACTCACGTCTGCCAGATCAGCAGGACTCAAACAGCCAGGTTCAGTTCTTATGGACAGACAGTCTCCATCCATTCCTCCAGTAAGAGCATGAAAGAGGTCAAGCTTTGGCCGGTTTGCATGACTCCATTAGATTGTAGATGTGGTAACTGCACAAACTGACTGCAAAAAAGCATCTTTCTCAACTGATGGCGAGTCAAACATTTCTGTGCACTCAAAATAATTCAAGCACATGTCTTTGAGATGAATGAGAATGCAAGCGGTCTAAACATATAGCCAAACCACTACATTAACATCCAGCAAGCAGCGAATCAGAGTGCTGCATGAACTTCTGTTTAACCAATCAGAACTCATTCTCACACTCTCAAAAATAAATCACAATACTGCAAATAATATCAGATCACAGTAACATTTCAAGAAAATTAACCAGCCAATTACTAGATAAAATGTATTAATTTAAATGAAAAATCACAATCTTCTTATGCAATCAGCACTTTTAAAGCATTTTATTTGATATGAATTAAAACATTCAATATGCACTGCAAAAAATAAATCAGTAAAATTAACAGAAAAAGTACTGGCAGCTTATTACACAGGACATTATACATTAATTTTACAAACATTTCCGTTAACTCTAAAACACAATGCAAAGCAGTGTAAAATTCAAACTACTGGTGAAACACCTGTAAAAAAATAATTACAGAAGAAATCCTTCAAGTTATACAGTACATTATGCCCTATTTTTTTGGAGTGTGTCATACGGTCCCAAGACTAATAATCAGGATTATTACCATTTAACTAAAACTAAAACCATAAAACAAAATAAACACCAAAATAATTAAAATATTTAAATTACATCAGGCAACATTTCTAATTTTTGTTCAGTTTAAAGGCCTTTTCTCCTTTCTGACAGGAAAGGAAATGCAACAGCATTACTATGTTTGAGTCACTGTTTTATGCAAAGTCACCCTGTGCTTAAAAAGATCTAATTTATTCCCTCAATCCTTTGCTCTCGGTCCAATCTGATGCTTTTAGGAAGAGCAGAAAGCAGATGAAAGGCAGGGGCAGGAAAACCCATTTCTCAAAGGCAAATTTGTTTTATTTTTTATAGATAAAAAAAAGTGAAACAGAAGGACCACTCAATATTTAAACACACAACATCAGCACACTATTTGCATAAAGCTGATGATGAATGTTAAAAACACACTCACATATACTCCAACAACAATCCCTAGTAAGATGCAACATTTTAGGCATCATATAGGTACACTATAAAAGCTGTTACATAAAAATGATGCTGCTTTCTATCTACTTCATGTTGACCAAATTCTAAGGAAGCATCACATTTATGCTTCCCAAAAATTAAATTTCCATAATGCAATGCATGCTCAATGAAAAACTATCATTAACCCAATAAAGCAATAAAGTGTTACATTCAAAACACAAATTTCTAAGGTCTCTAAACGATCAACATGATCAAAACTTCGCCAAAAGTCCTGTTGTACACAATCTACTATATGCCTTCTGTCGTCTGATTGATAGTTTATACTTTTTTTGTAAGAAAAATGCCTTGTAAAACAATTGTAAAAATGGCCAAATGTGAAATCTTTAATGATTTTTAAAGTAAACATAAGAATAACTTTTAAATTGTTAGTAATATTACAAGACAAACATCAACTGGACTGAAGCAGCTTAGGTTTACTTGATTATCCATTCATCATTTTTAAGAAAAATCATGTTAAAATGTATTCAACAACCCTATATATATATATATATATATATATATATATATACACAAAGAGTTTATTTGCAAAAACAGATTTACTTGCATTGTAGAGGTTGATTCAATATGATCCATCAGGCTTTTGAGGAATTTTTATTTGCTCATCTCTCAATGATCATTGTATTGTATTAGGCCTATATTATGTTTTGCTGTCAAAATAAAAACTGCAGAGCTTTGATCATAAAACCAAGCATTTAAAAATCATCTTACTTATTTTTGGGCAATATAGAGTGACAGCTGATATTTAAATGCATTTTATGTAAGTAGTCTGCTACACTGTTATAAAGATCTCATTGTTTGCCTCGTTTCGCTTCGACAGCTTCCAGCCTCACTCTGCTTCATTCTGCTACGTTAATAAACCATTAGCTCATCCATGAACATGATTTCTGCCCGAGTCCCGTCGGATTGCATCGCTGTGGGGATGAAGACCACAACTCCCATGATTCCACACTCAGTCACGGTGTCATCAAACTATGCCTTTGTCTCTTTGTTTATTTTGAATACGCGCCCTCTAGCGGCGAAAATTACAAACTGTGCCTTTAAGTGAATAACTAAACTAAAAACTAAAACTTAAAAAACTAGGCTATATGGACATTTAAAAATAAACTAATAAAAATGTAAAACACAACAAAATTACTAAAACTTTACTAAAATTAAAATAAAAAAATTAAAAACAAACTAAATAAAATGTAAAATATCAAACTATAATTCTATATCAATGATATAATATAACACAGCTAGTAATCAAATATTCATAATCTAATTAATTTTTGGTGGCTAAAGACAAATTCACAATCTTTTGTTTCCCGTTTTTTCCATTCATGCCAAATGAAATATGTCATGTGCCCTAAACAAAGTCCACTGAGATCTGAGACTGTCTGTTTACCACAAATGCTCTTGATGTTTTATATTCAGAAGGAAAGTGTCTCTGTCACCAGGGTCAGTGGGTCTCAGAACCAGCGGAAAATAGCGTTAAGAGCATTCCAAAGAAAAAACACACAATAGAATCCTCCTGTTCCCAAACTTCCTTTCCTGAAGCCCTCACTTCCTCCTGGAAAGATGCTAATCGCAGGGGGTGAGAAGAGGAGGAACACTGCCATAGACATCCAGGAGCACACACTCCCAAATACCATGAGCACACCACTACAGGACAGAAGTGTGTGAGTGAAACTTTAAGAGCTAATGAAGATTCAGGCAGTGGTTGAAGACCTGGGTTGGTAACCTAAAAGGTCACAGGTTCAAGGCGAGCTCACTAGGGGACACGTGGGAAAAGGCACATCTGATGTCATGAGATTAGCAGATTAGCAGCACATAAGGTACTTTAAGATGGTAAACATGTTGGTCTGTTGAGGAACAAGCAGGCGAAGCAGTGCCCCAGCAAAATACTCATCCACTAGAAAGACCTCAATCAATAATAAATCATAAATATGAACCTTTACAATTGCAAGCAACATAGTCCAGATTCATATTCGGATTTATTACTGTTCGCCACTGAGAACATTTACTTGCAGATTTTGCACAAGCAGCCTTGTGAAGGAAGACAGACCACTTTCATTTGAGAAGACTATTAGAATGGAGATGGAAAAGGTCAAATGAAAACTCCGGTTAAATAACCTGTTGGCCAATAGTACAGATGATTATTGTTAATTAATCGAGAGAAGCAGAAATTGTGATCACGATTTAAATACAGTTAATCGTGCAGTCCTAATTCTGTTTCTTTCCATTGTGCATTGTCTAGATGTTTCTGAACACTGCAGTGTGTCTTATGTAAATGACCCCTAAAAACAAGTCTGAGCAGGGTCAGGTGAATCTGAAAACCTGATTATTATCTAGTCATTAAAGGAACACTCCACTATTTTTGAAAATAGGCTCATTTTCCAACTCCCCTAGAGTTAAACAGTTGAGTTTTACTGTGTTCGAATCCATTCAGCCAATCTCCGGGTCTGGCGGAGGAACATAACCAACGTAACCACCTGCTTGCAGGCGCTGCGTAATATCGTTGCACCTGCTGCACCCATGGTACGGCAGCAAAGTTCCTTGATTATTACGCCGGAATGAGAGTATAGTTCCTAGCCATATCGGCCTAGAAAATCACAACTTTTAATTTTCCGTCGGTCTTAGTACACGATGTAACTACAGAAGAGTCAAGTTTTAAATAGGAAAAATATAGATACTCTTTGGTCATTTTTGAGCGAGATGCTAACGGTCTAATCCGATTCAATTATCTATGCTAAGCTACAGCTAAAAGTGCTACCGCCAGACCCAGAGATCGGCTGAATAGATTCGAAAACGGTAAAACTCAACTGTTTAACTCTAGGGGAGTTGGAAAATTAGCCTATTTTCAAAAATAGTGGAGTGTTCCTTTAAGGCAACCCACCAATTAGCTTGTTTTGTAAATGTATAGCTTTGTACATTCTTAACAGTGGCACTAATGGGAATTGCAAAAATGACTGATATCCAGCAGGTTTCCCAAACATTGTCCTTACTTGTTCAAACTGGTAGTCCTGCCTCAAACTCACTGGTAAAGCCAGAAATCGACATGTCAGATAAATAAAGCAATGTTTTTAAAGCGCTATAGGGTGGACCATAAATTCAACACTAATGGCTTATGCAATGCTGCAGATTTAAAGTTAGCATTTTTTAAATTCAGCTGAGGTCACAAAGATCTCCTATTTGCCACATCTTCACAAGATTATGAATTTGCAGGTCAGAGTTCACCAAACTTTAGAAAGCAGTGACATTTGCATGGTCTTGTGTTTCCTGTCTCCTGCATTTGCGTGCATTTGAATAAAGAACAATTTAACAAAAAATCCAGTGTGACTGGAAAGCTGCAAATGGACCAGACTTTATACTGGTGAAAGGTCTGAATCTGCGAGACTAGTTTGGACTGGTTAGTGCTTGTCTACGCTTATCCAGTATAAGCATGGTGGCTTATACTGTGGCTTGTGTTAAAGGGATAGTTCACCCAAAAATGAAAATTCTGTCATTAATTACTCACCCTCATGATGTTCCAAAACCTTTGTTCATCTTCAGAACACAAATTAAGATATTTTTTATGAAATCTGAGAGCTTTCTGACTCTGCATAGACAGCAATGCAACTGACACGTTCAAGGCCCAGAAAGGTAGTAAGGACATCGTTAAAATAGTCCATGTAACATCAGTGGTTCAACCGTAATGTTACAAAGCTACGATAATACTTTTTGTGCGCAAAGAAAACAAAATTAATGACTTTTTCAACAATTTCTTCTTTTCCGTGTCAGAATTCGACATGCATTCATGACAGTACCACGCATGCGTCGTGGTACTCTCGTGAATGTGTGTCAAAGGCTGACACGGAAGAGAAGAAAGTAGTTATTTTTCTTTTCTTTTCTTTCGGATGAACCACTGATGTCACATGGACTATTTTAACGATGTCCTTACTACGTTTCCGGGCCTTGAACGTAGTTCAGAAAGCTCTCGGATTTCATCAAAAATATCTTAATTTGTGTTCAGAATGTTAAGGAACACAGTCTTATGAGTTTGGAGTGACATCAGGGTGATTTTTGAATACTACCCATTTAACCTGTTAGTGACAGTAATAAGTGTAATACAATAATAAAATAACTCTATGACACTATTCATACTTTTGATAAAAGCTTTCATCTAAAGGAGCTTTAGTCACTGCAAACGGATGTAAGGGCTGTCCCTTTGGAGCAGTTTAAGTGCTTTGGTGATAGAGCAGTACTGTGATCTCAGATCCTGGGTTATCTTAACTGGGAAATGAGTCTGTGCACTTTCGCAGCCCGGTTAATTAACCATCATGCTGTCAAAAACCCACTTTTGCGGTCTCATTTCGCATTTCTGCATACTTTTAGTAGTTCACACAGAATGTGTATGACTGTTGTGTTCACATCTTTTGCATCGTCTCATTCATGAGCGCCAAGTTTTTAAGATGCCGTGTCAAGTTAAACATTTTTTTTACTTTTACACGCAGCACCATCCATCAACGTCAGTTCTAAAACAGTGGACCAATCAGAAGACCTCGGAGGCAGCGCAAGCGTTTGTTTACAGTAGAGCCGTTGAGCGGCATTCTGCACTGCGCTTTTTTAAAACCATTCCTGAGCACTGTGTCTCACGTTTTTAGACGCAAAGATGCATTCTGTGTGAACGGCCCCTTAGCCTTATATTTTACAGTTTTTCTACAGTTGAAAAGTAGAGAGTATCTGAAAGAGAAAGTATTTAGTAGATACTATGAAACTTAGTGATCGTTATAAAAAAATGTTCACCATAGAATTAACTACATCCATCATGTTTTCATTGTCATGTGACCTACAGCATTAGTTGCATCATTTGACTGCCATTCATAAACCCTTTGTGTGGCTTCATGGGATCGTACAGTGTCCATTAATTGCGCAATCCTAAATCTTCCCATAAGTAGTAGATCATCTGGGTACCTTTCACCTACAGTTTTTTAAATATTATGAATGAATCCCAATTTAATATGTAGTTTAAGTTGAGATTAGTGGTCAACCGATATTGGTTTTTTGACAGCCGATGCCGATGCCGATATCTTGGAAAGCAGGGTGGCCGATGGCCGATATAAAGCGCAGCATAATTTGAACTCACAAGTTTAAAGTTTGTCGATCGCGCATCTCCAGTGAAGCTGAACTCTCCTCCTGTCAGCATTCAATTCACACGGACCGACCGTCACGCAGAGAACACGCGATCATGCAGGATACAAATGCACACTTCACAAGATCTCACAACTAGATCCGACTAAGTTTGCAAGGTTTGTGAAACTAAATGTTCATTAGTCAGTCAAAGATTTGTTTAAATGATATAAATGCGTATTTGCTGAATGCTGACGGCAAACAAGAAAGTATTATAATGTTTTCCTTTCTAATACTAATAATATAAAAGCAATCGTTATAATACTTTTTGTATACATTTTAATTCCTTTGTTTAACCGTTCTATCTGATTATTAGACAGATTTCTGTCCGCATTAGACAGAACTGTTAACGACGACAGCGAACAAGAGGGAGAATGTGAGCACTGTGTGCTCAGGCGCTGCCGCTCTCAGCGCCGTCAAAATAAAAGTTCGGCGCGCTGTCAAACGCATCGGCCAAACAGGAAAACTTATCGCCCGATGCCGATATTTAAAAAAATGCCAAATATCGGCCAATATATCGGCCTTGGCGATATATCGGTCGACCACTAGTTGAGATGCAGCCTGGATCGCTGTGCTGTTGGGTAGGAGATGATGTTTTGATGCAGCACGTCTATGGACATCACAACATCTCTGTCAAATGGACTCCGTGTGCAGCTGTGACAGTCAGACAGCTGTTTACTATACTCGTTTATTGTATGACAGCCTTGAACCTTTTTTCTGAGAGCTGTACAGTGTGATCAGAGCCGGTGACCCAGAGAAACAACACGAGACACTGAGCGAGAAGAGGCCGGGAACATCTGCTCTGCCGGTCAGGATCTCTGTGGAATGTGTCAGTGTGCCGGCCGATCATAGATCAGGATGGACAGAGCCTGGTGTCATGAGATCTGTGGTTCTCATTGTTCACAGATTAAAGCTAAAATGTGTCATATTTCAATGTTACTTCCTGTCCCAGAGACAATGACACACGGACCATTGGTAGGTTGACGTTCTGAACAGTGTAAACACTGTGGATCTGGGACCGGTTTCCCCAGCTGTGGGTAAATTACAACTTAGGCTGTATGTTACAACTTACACATTACAAAATATGTTTTGTGTTGCACCATTAAAATTGAACTTGAAACATAATTCTATCAATAAACTAAATATTTATGAACGCCTCCATCCAGGAGTAACACTTGGAATAAAATATCAGATTGACTGAACTGCATCAATAAGCTTATGTTTTACCTGACAGATGCCAATCCTTTACACATATATGACAATGTTGACATTTACATTTTAAGAAAGAGAACATTATTTGAATAAGTTACTTTGATAATGGTTCTTCAACACGTATTTGAATGGAAACATGTTTACCATTAGTTACGTGAGACAAAAGTTAGAATTAAAGATGAACTGAAATGAACAGCTTTTTAACACAATTTCTGCTCATGTATTTGAAGGTTAATATTGGATCATTGAGAGTAAACCTTATATGCGACTATGCAATACATAGACATTACGATGTTCTGCCTTAAAGGGGTCATCGGATGTAAAATTCACTTTTACAAGTTGTTTGAACTGACATGTGTGTTGACAGTGTGTGTAAACAACCACCCTATAATGATAAAAATCCACCCAGTGTTTTTTTTTAAATCCAGTCCCCCGATCTGCCTAAATGCGTCTATGTTCGCGCGAATCATTCGTGATTCAGCTTCACCTTCAGAAGAAGTGAGTATAAGTTTTTTTTAATGAATTTTGCAAATCGCCTTTCCTAATAATGTGCTAGTTAGCAAGTTTCACGATAAATGCAACTAAAGTTTACAGTCTCTCAGAGAACTGCGCATCACTCCACGGAGGGAGAGGGGCGGGGTGAGCAGAGCTCATTAGCATTTAAAGGGACATGCACCGAAACGGTTTTCTGTGAAAAGAGCTGTTTTTGACAGGGTAAAAAGGGTGTTGTTTTACACTACCATTGAAAAATTTTAACCAAAGTGTGTTATAGACTTTTCATTAAGACCCTAAAGAATCATGTCAACTTGTGGAAAATGGGCATCCGATGACCCCTTTAAAAATAAATGGTGCAACCAAACAAAGTACAGACTTTTAGAACCTAGCTAGTAGTGAAGTGAAGTAGATAACATGTCTATATGTTATATGTTGAATTATGCTTTTTTTAAAAAGACACCACAGAGTTTGATGTTGTATTCCAGCCGTTGCAGAGTTTAAAGTCTAGTGTGACCACATTTTAAGGCAGGAAAGGACATCAGAGTGACGTGTAAAGTGACCAACCACTGTTCACATTTATAGGATACCACAATAAAAAAAAAATCACTGGAAAGTCATAGATAATCTGACCTGAAAATCCTCCAGAGGAAACTGCAGCATGTCCCTGAGTCCATCGCTGAGGATCTGAGTTTTCCTCTGCACCAGCACACTCTCATAGTCCAGAGGCTCCACCACACGCGGCTTCACCTGAAAACACACAAGCACAAATTCAGCACATCTTACAGATATCCCAATTCTAATATCGCAATATGTTATAGGATGGTGCTCACATATACTACTTAGAGGAGAAAAGGAGGCTAAAAAACGGAATTAGCACAATCAAACGAGGCAAGGGTTGATCTGTAAAGTCCAATGAAATATTATTTCTTAAAAACCTCAAGCAAAGCACCTTAAGATACTCCATTGTGATTGTACCTGCTTCTAAACAGACTCAATGGTGTTCAATGGCAATATTGTCTAAAAAGTCAAAGAAACTTCCTGAGCCCCAGTAAAAGTTCAAGAATGTAAAATCCATTTCAAAAGGAGTTTTAATGAAAATAAAAATTACTTAAAATGTTAAAACCAAAGTTGAAATGTTGTGCGGCGATACTTTCACTCTGCTAATACTCTTTCTGTAATAAAATAAATCAGTGATCTCTACAGAATATGAGTGCTGGATGAGGATCTTAGTAATATGTTTTCACTGATATAGAAGGAATCTGGGAAAGTGTGTGTGTGTGTGTGTGTGTGAGACTAAGTGCGATAACACAGTCCACTCACACATCTGGGAGTGATATTGGCAAAATGACCTCAGATGCAGATCTCCAAGGAGACGGCGTTGTTTTGATGATGATACCATAACTGGATAGACCAATCAAAGACCAGAATCCCACCCAAACACCATGAACACCAGCTCCACTGACTGTACAACAGATTAAAGCCTCCAGACACCACATAAAACAACCATCAACCAGTTCAATCCCAGCAGTGTGTGTGTCATGAGCATACAAACCCAGGTTCTCAAAGTCAGGCTGAGCCAGGCTCACTGGAAATATGTGCATGTGGTGGCATTTCTTCAAAATTATATTACATTGCTTTTGCACATTTTCCAAGTGTCCAGTGAGTGATGCTAAAAGTGTGTTCAGTTTTATCTGAAACGTGAATGTGAATATACGTACGCAATTCTAAAAATTAAAGATCCAATGAGTGACATTAAATGGTTAACACTATTGCATTTGAAAATAATGTACCACCCGAAACAAAAATGTATTCGCTGAAGCAACCAAGCAAATCTTGTTTCTGCAAGTTTTTGAGCTCTTTTATCATGACTTGCATTTCATGGGGCTTGTATCCGACTTTGCATCACAACTGCAGCGCTGTACCAGGTGAGCTACCAAGCAAGTTTACTATGGCAGAAAAGCCATACATATGGAGCCGTTTATGTGATGCAAACAATGAAATGTATTAGTTTACAAATCATGCGCTATGGTAAAAGTGTTTTAGGTCATTATATAGTATTGTGCAAGATACCAAACAAAAACAGATCTTTATTAACTGACAATCTGCCCCCATAATCATTATTTGTGTGAAAAGGAATAAAAATGGTTGGTGTTTTACTGTTACTAGTGCTCATTTCAGCTGGAAACTGCAGTGAATTGTATGCACAATTACTGTACATTTTTTGTTTTGCAAAACGCTGAGAAACGCTGTCCAGTCAAATGAAATGAATTGGATGTGTTTGTATGTGTGTGAGAGTTAATATTCGCATTTCAAACATTCAGCAGTTTAATCTTTAACACATATATGAGAGACCTGAGTTACAGTCATATGACTGACAGGTGATTTTATTATCGCTGATGAAACTAACATCTCATTCTAGAACAAAAACTCATTCTAGAGCGATTTCAGAGAGTAATGACCTACACAGAGATGCTACTAACTTCGTTTCACTTTTCAGTAACGTCAATGACAGTGACTGTTTTCACAATAGTGTAGCTTTTACATAGAGCTGCCTAAAATGGGTCGCTGTACATGACAACCACTAATTTATTTTAAATGGTCCTGCAAGTGCATTTGTAGAGGCACAATTATTTCATGTAATTTCTTAATTAATGTACTGTAAAAATGTGCACATATTACTACGTAAAGCTACTTTTTTTTTTAACATATCATTTAGATGGAGTATAGTATGTCACAGCATGTGTACAAACACAAATGGCAAACACACACACAAACACACACACCTATATTTATTCCTGGGAACATGAATAGGACAGTGTTTGCACAGTTGTGTTGTGTTCAAAATGGCATCAGAGTAATGCACCAGTTACTGTGGCTAAGTATACGTGTGCACTTATTTTGAACACAAATTTGTACCAAGAAGTGAGTTAATTCTGACAAAATCTTCTTTCAGGGACATTCTCATTAGTAAAATTGCTTTTTTGTTAGGGTTAGGTTGTAGTATTTATAACTAGCCGTATCTAGATACAACAGAAGCCTATGTAATGTCCTCATTTAGATATAGTTACATTTTGCGATATAAATTTCTAACTGAAAACCAATTGGAAAACACACACACACAGTGCTCAAATGTGACAGTGCAGTCTGATAGAACAGCTGTGTGAATGTGTGTTTATTTCTTTACACTGCTGTACTCTGAAACATCCAGTCGCACTCCAACTGGACACAACAGGCCCACAAATCACAGCATACTCTGCATCCAAAATAAAGTTCATAAGTCAGTAGAACAGCAGGATATATTGGACTAAAGTGACAACAGGAAAGACATACACGCGTGAGATGATGGAAGCTTGTGTGATCCCCATATGAATCATCTCAGCACATTAATCTCTCTCTTCTGAGGAGCAGTGCACTCTCCATTTTAAAGCAAACAGCCTGAAAGCTGAGCTCAGCTCTATTGTGTGTGTAGCAATAGAAACACAGGAGAAAGATACAGTATGTGGGCAGTGACAGTCGAGTGTGTAGTGTGTGTGTGTGTGTGTGTGCATGACAGACAAAGTGAACCTGCATTCAGGCGATAATGCTGGAAGAGACATTTGAGACATTTTTTAACCACCATGATTCTTTCACTGGACACTATTGTTTAAAAGTTTGGGGTCAGTATGAATTTTTTAAAATGGTTTTAAAATATCTCTTATATTCACCAAGACTGTATTTATTTGGTCAACATTTATATATTTATATATCTTAAAATGTAATTAATTTTTGTGATGTTAAAGCTGAATTTTCAGCATAATTACTCCAGTCTTCAGTGTCACATGATCCTTCAGAAGTCAGGCTAATATACTGATTTGCTGCTCAAGAAACTTTTCTTCTTATTATCAATGTTGAAAACAATTGCTTAATATAAAGTGGGTCTGGCTTATATTCAGCAAGAATTCATTAAATTGGACAAAAGTGACAGTAAAGACATTTATAATGTTACAAAAGATTTCTATTTCAAATAAATGCTGCTTTCTTGAACTTTATTTTCTTCAAAAATAGTATTAATTAATAAAAAGTCTTCAAAAAGTCTAATTATTGGGTTCTTAAATTTAAATTAATCATTTGATATAATGCACTGATTAAACTTTACCCCAAACTTTACTATGTAAATACCAAGGTATATTAATACAGTATCATATCAATTTTATATATCATGGTATGATCTTCTGACACCATTGTACCATACCACTACACGACACGTTTCAACCCCAAAAACAACTAAACCGATCCAGTTTACAGGCACTAAAGGCTTAATCAATAACTTTAAACAGCCCTTCTGTCACAACCACACCTCAATTTTTCATGAAGTTTTTATGCTTTAATTTAACTTGCACTTCAACTGTAATGAAATCAATTTATCTTTTACTATACAGAGACATGAGGGGGAAGGTTAGGAACTAGCACAGCTGTGCTCACACACACACACACACACACACACACACACACACACACAGATCTTGCCCGTCATAAGCTTACACTTCCTCACTCATGCCCTGAGGACAACACCTTTCTGTGTGTTTAAGTGTGTGTGAAGGGACAAGATGACTTAATGCTCTGATTTTTCCGGAAGCTATGTGTGTGTGTGTGTGTGTATTTGGTTTTGTATGTATTTAGACAGTGGCCTCAAAAGTCACATAAAAATGTATATAGGTAATACAATACTAAGTGTAATTATTACTAAATAAAGACAGCACAATCAAAATTTTTAAGCAAAACATTTCACAAAAAGATGTTACGTTTGCAATTATAAAACAAATATTGTATTGATAATTAATAATTGTAGTGGACGTCCACTTGCAATTACTGTAAATCTTAAAAAGTATATTTAAAAAACAACAACATAATATTAATTAAGTAAAAGGCCACTTAAGTGTACTTAGTTTTTTCAACTGCTTACAAACATTTTCAAAACTTTGCCTCTTTTTTTCAAAACTTTACACACAAATTCAAGAATTGCACACACAAAATGCAAACTGCCTCACAGCTCATGCAAAATGAAGCACTGCATTCAAAATATCACAAAATATCTCAAAAGCAAACATTTGCAAACACCATTGCCATAATATTAATTCCTGTTAGATTTTTGTGTGTTACACAGAGAATTATGTGTTGTGTTTTGCAAAAAGTGTTTTATGAAATTGAAAACGGAGTCAAAGGCCGAGAATTAGTGTATGGTTTTGCGGTGTATTTGGTGTGAGGGTCTGGTGTTTGAGTGTCAGGTTACAGAAATTGTGTGACAAAAAAAACGGTAAAGAAAGTTCATTTTTGTGAACACTTTCTTTTCTTTTTTCTTAACACACGTAAGTAACCTTTCAAAAAGTGCACTTTGTAATAGTTTCAAATTATACGTTTTACTTTAAAGTACATTTTAAATCATTATGTATTAATCTTTTGTCATGCTTTTAAAAAGTACACCTATTTAGTAGTGCTGCGTTCAAAATATCGATACGACGATGTTACACTTGCGCAATATGGAAATATCTGCTAAGTGTGCTACTTATCCCTGTCAACCTGGCAACCATGTGCACACGCGCTTGCTTTCTGAAAACACCGGTTTCCTTGCAGTTTAACGATCTCCACTTTAATATTCTATTCTCAGAAAAGTGTAATTCATCAACTGTTCATTTACGACAGAGAGAGAGAGAG